CCCCAAAACCCCAAAACCCCAAAACCCCAAGATTCAAAATTTAATACAGAAATTAAGAGAGTCTTAAATATGAAAATTAGTCCTTGTAATTATAATTTAGATAGGCAGAATGGTATTTTTCACACTTCGTGTGCATATTGCCAAATTAAAATTATTGGTTCCACTTCACACAAGCAATCATAAACTCTATCTCAAAATCACTGTAAGCATCATTTATAAACACCAATGTTAATAACTAATAATACAGGCTTAAGATGATTCTAAAAAAGTAGAAGCACCTTAGATTACTAATGAAATGATTACTAAAAACAATGGAGTCATCCATATCATTGAAGATTTGGAATTTAAATTGGATTAGAAGTGCAATAAAATATCAGTTTTTATCTACGCTAATAGAACATTTAAAGAGGATATCTTGCTTTTCTTTAATGATGTTTCTTTAAGGAAACCCCTTTCTACAGAATAGGTAAGCAGCAAATACGCTCATCATCAGTTTAAATATCTCATTTTAGATAGTAAAAATTGAAGCGAAGCTATATAATTCTGATAAGGTAAATGTGGCAAACCTTTACCTAGAAATGCAAAGATAGGGACAAATAATCTCAAACTAAGATTTCATGGCAGATATCACTTAAAGATTGAATATTGAGGCAAGTAAAGTCATAAAACACGAGCAGCCTGAAGAATAAAAAACCGCAACTATGAATCATAATAGTTCAAGTCCCGGATTCTTCGCAAGTTTACAGATTAATAAGGATTCAGACAAAAACAAAAAATCTAATAGGGCAAAGTCTCAAGAAAGAGAGACAAAGCAAGCTTCTTCGATGCCATCATCTCTAGAGATCACTTAATAATTATTTGCCATTCCAAATTTAGGCTTTAGCATGCAAGAACAAAGAGAAAAAGCTATACCTGGGTTTGATCCGTTTTTAATGGGGGATAATTTTTAGAGATTCTTGAGATCGATTGATGTTCCAGTATAAATATATGAGTACCTATTCCAAATATTTACAATTTAAAACTCAAAAGAGACATTTAATTTTCTTATTCAGGCCTCAGTCTACATATATTATTATGAGTATGTACTTTGCTTACTACCACTTGCTCTTGTTTTATTTATTTTTTACAACTTCTATTTCAAAAAAGAATTCAAGAGGCCAACTCCAGATTATATTAAAAACATGAGATTTATCCAAATGATGATGGGAAGTGTTTCTGATATGGTTAAAATATCTTACGAATTCACAGAAGATTTTTTGTATTGGAGAGATCCAGATAAATCCTAAATGCTTATCAAAGAGGCTTTAAAATTACCACTTGGGATAATAATTATAATTTATTACGTACCAATAAGATAGTGTCTAATAGTTGGACTCTGGATGGCAACTCTTTCTAATAGTCAATTTTTCGTTACCATATCTAGAGTTTTTATCACAAAGCTCCTCGAGTAGACTCATAAAATAAACAAAAAACAAATTTATGAATTTATAGCTATTAAAAAGGATCAGATAACTAATTTTGAGTTGCCGTTCAGTTCCCTAATTTTTACTATTAGATCTTATATACAGCAAAAATTTAATTTAACACAGAAATAAAGATTCCGAAACGAAAGATCTATTACTTTTGAGGAGTAAGATATTGGAGAGGAGCATACAGACAACACACCTTTCAGTGGTAATTCTAAACTTCCACATGTGAGAATTAAGAAAATGAGACAATCCATTGAATATGCTTAGGATAATTTTGAAGAGAACCTTGACATCAACCAAGAATTAAGGAAAAAGCCAAATGAGATAAATGTTTTGAGAAATAGTCAAAATTTAAACCTGCGTATTGAATAACTTGATCAAGAGCCTAAGGATAGATTTAGAATCTCAAGAGGTAGTGCTAGAGCTATACTAAACAAAGAGACTTTAGAAAAATTAGATAATGTCTAGGAGGATGAAAACTTATTTAATCCAGTATAAGATGATGACTATTATAGTTTAAGCGACAATGAAAATGATTATGAAGAAGATGATGATGTCTTAGTTCCTGATCATACATATTTTAATAACAACAACAAACCTTAAGATGACAAATAAATATAGAGAAAAATATTTGTTACCTATGAAAATCAGAGATGGTGGCTTAGTAGCTGGACTTCGACATTGCTACCTGGTGAGAGGCATAGTTGGAGTGATTAAAAGGGCGAAATGCAATTACCCAAAGAGGCATTTAAATTACCATCGAAGGACTGGGAATGGGAAGATATCTGGCATGTAGATAAGCATCCAGAATTCACAGATGATGATGGTTGGTCATATGGTGTGGATTTTAGTAGTCCTTTTCATAAACACCAAGGAATGTTTGATGTTGTCAGAAAAAGAAAATGGGTAAGAGTATGTAAAAAGAAGAATTCTACTCCTCATAAAGAATCCAAAGCCAATTCCACTTCGAACTATAATACACCTCACAGAAAGTGAATTAAAAGAACTTTATTTTAAACTTAATTTAATAACATAAAACAACATAGAACATCTATACTAAAAATTATCGAATTAAGGGGTTTTGGGGTTTTGGGGTTTTGGGG